ACAAAAAGGAGCCTGTGATTCCATCTGAACGTATGTTCACGTGTTATCTCACTTAAATATGATTACTTATTCGTTAAATTTGTGAGTTTAGAGCTTCAACTCAAGCTTAAGCAGAAGTACGAAAAAATGGAGAAGCAGCGTGAGAACTCGGCGCGTGTGGACTCAATTTTGATTCAGCTTATGAAAAGTCATGCTCCGGAGATTGCTGAAAAACTAGAGATGAAGAATAATTTAGTTACACCAACAATGTCAGAAAACCCAGCAACAGCGACGCGCGAGACTGATGGTAGTGGTGTCGAGAATGTCAAGCGGCAAAAGGTTGCTTAATTGATTTACTTCATCGAAGATGAGTGTAAGAAATCTAATATACCAAATAATTTGCCAAAAACACTTAAGTTCATATTCACAAGCAAAACAAAATGTTGATAATTCATCTCAGCTTTGAAATGACATTTATGCATTCACAATTATTAAAAGCACTTCAACAGGAGTGTCAAGCTCATTCCGTCACTGTCGACGTCCTTCACTGCTCCTTTTTGTTCTCAGGGGGATTATACTTGCTGCGCACCTCGTCAACCTTTGCCTTGCCCCGTTGCTTACTATACTCAACGGTATCTTCCAGACTGTCCGCAGCTCCTTGCAGCTTCGCCTTAAGTTTCTCGCTGGACGGTACTTCGCGTGCCAACATCATTCCTGGCTGCTTCATCTTGTTCACACTAGCTTTCCACTTCTTAGGGTACCGACGACGAATCATCATTAATAGAAACAGCGCCACCAAAGGGATGCCAACAAGCGCAACATGCCGAGCGCAAATGCGATCCGTTGGCAACGGCAGACAATATTCACGTTCACCCACATTCTTTGCTGCTTCCGAACTCTGGTGCCACGTATCTTTAGCCTTGTCACCAGCGAATTGCATGGTATCCTTTGCCTTTCCACCGGCAGCTTGCATCGACTCCGATACGCGATTTTTGACGCTCTCCACTCGTTGGCCAAGATCGCTTATCTCTGCACTGAGCTTCTCACTCGCAGTTTTTAAGGAATCCATCACCGTATCGCTAATCGCGTCAGTCGACACGGGAGCAGATTCGGGTAGCCGCGTGTTCTTACGCGCAGAAGCCGCAGCATCGCGAACTGCTTCGTTCATTTGCTCCATCTTACCGCGCGCTTTCTCGCCAAGGGTCCGGGCTTCGTCTTGCAGTTGTTCAAGCGTACGGCGACCTCCACCACTGACATCAGCTTGTTGACGTAACTGCTCTACTTCAGACATAATTTCATCCGCAGTCTCGGATGCAGCCTGTTTGGCGTGTTCTCTGGGCTGGTTCTTTGCCATACTGGTGGGCATTCGCGCCATGTTAAGAAATTGGTTTTTGTACTTTGATGTGTGGGTTAAGACGCGTTTTGTAAAGTGCTTATAACGAGTAGATGCCTAGAATACAGGGACACGGAGATGGTGGAAGAAAAGAAGGATGGCTGGCTCAACGGGCGTGTTTCATCACCTAGCAACGGCAAGTCTCAGTCCGAGACACGAGAAAGATGGGAGAAGAAAATGGCGCTAACGGCGGTGCTGTTCACTTCAACATGAGGTACACCACACTACTCCGTTAGTCTCAGATTTCGATAATTAATTGATGGTGCTTGCTTACTCATCATCTGCGCAAGTAGACGCCGTCGCTGTGTGCCCTCTACAAAACGTGCAATGCTCACAAAGCGTTAAGAAAGATACATCATTACTGGCCGTGGCACAGTCTCAACTTGAGGGTAATGTATGGAGTGGTGGTGTAACACTGCTGGATGCACAGACGAGCGAGCAATTATGCGAATTGCAGCTGGAAACAGGCGTCGCGGCGCTGGCCTGGTGCAGTTCGGACGGCAATGTGCTGGCACTTGGGTGTGATGATGGAGACGTGCGCTTAGCGAAGTTGTCGGCGGATGAAGCATTAATTTTCAAGCCTCTCAGCGGTAGCAACGATGATAAGGATACCGTAACGGATTGGGGACATGATGATGTAATCACGGATGTCAGCAGCTCCATAACTGAAAAGACACATCTTGCCACATGTAGTTGGGACCTAACGTACGTGTCTTACTGTATAGAGTTTAGAGATAACACTAATTTTTGGTGTGTGCGGCAGCGTTAAGCTTTGGGATGTCACAGTCATGGATCAAACGATCGCCACATTTCATGGTATGGACATAATAATTGTATCTTTACTGTCAAATATCAAATGAGCTAATGGTTGACTTGTTTATTTGCAGGTCACACGGATTTGATTTGGGGCGTAGCAATGAATCCAACGCACAAGCACGTGCTATGCTCAGCATCACAGGACTCAACAGTTCAAGTGTGGGATGCTCGTCAATCTCAAGGTGCAGCGCTTTCTATATTAACATTATCACCTGCGTTGTCAGTGGATTGGCATCCCAGACAGCCGGTAATCTTTTCTGTCGGACTAGACGACGGTCGGGTGTGTACGTATGACGTACGTTCACCGCACATGCCATTGGCTCAACATGATACGCACACCGCTGCAGTGCACGTAGTCCGATACTCACCATATCACGATGACGTGCTGGCGACGGGCGGTGACGACGGCAAGGCGTTTGTGACTGAGAGCTGTTCCAAAAATGATTGCAATGCTCGAGAAGTGTTAGGTGGTGACAATCTTTCTGCGCATCGTGACTACGTGCGCGCATTTGACTGGTGTCAACTTATGTCTTCATCATTAACCTCTCAAACCGATACGATACTATTTACAGGATCTTGGGATAAAACAGTACACAAGTGGAATATTGATGATTACTTTTGTGATGAACAAGTACTCGATACAACGTCGGGTAAACAAAGTTTAAATAATTAAAATTTTCTAGACTTTGTTATTCGTTCACCTGGTCGCGTAGCCAAGGTTCTTGAAGTGCTTGCTCGGGTGTAAGACGCTCACACGGGTCCCAAACAAAGCACTTTGTTAAAAAAGCCACAAAATTTACATCATTTGACTTGACTGCATCCATGAAACTTCGTGAGCCGGGCGTTCGTTGTTGGCCCCGCGAATTTACATACGTCTTCGGTACATAATCAACACAGTCCATGACCGCAGGATTAATTACTTCGTCAAACAATATCAAACGTCGCTTGCTGTTGCGCACCATCACCGGTGGAGGCACGTCCAGTACCTCCATAATACAGGCCAATTGATCTTGTTCATTCTCACCCGCATATATTGGATAACCAGTGTGCAGCTCGACAAGGATGCAAGCTAAACTCCACATATCGATAGCGTAAGAGTATGGAAGACCAAGCAACACTTCTGGACTTCTGTAAAATCGGGTCTGGATATACTTAGACATTGGACCCGATTCCAAACAACTGCTGCCAAAATCAATTAGTGTCACTTTATTGACGACTCCATCTGCTGCCACAGTCCCTGCATCTAAAAGTATGTTTTCTGGCTTTAAATCAGAATGAAGAATCTGCTCTCGCTTCAGTAAATTCAATGCCTGTACAAGCTGCGTGGCAATCGTACGCACGCTGTTCATGGGCAGACCGCGGAATTGACGCATCTTGAGATAGTCATAAAGATTCAAACCCAACACCTTGAATACAATACACAAGTGGTTGCGAAACTCAAAATAATTGTCCATACAAATAACATGTGCATCCTTGTCATCTCCAGCTATTGCTTTCTGAAGTTGTGTCAATAGCCTCACTTCTTTGAATGCTTGTGTGTGATACGTCTTTCGATTACAAATCACCTTGACAGCGACCAACGTGCGAGTGCGATGATCAAGACAGCACACAACCTGGCCGAACGATCCTTGTCCTAATGCACTCAAAACTTCGTACCGGTACGCCAAGTGGTCGCCAATTACCACCAAATAGTCGCCATGTTCGTCATCGTACCCATGATTATACAATTTCGTCAAACGATCGTCTAAATTTTCGTCAACGGAATCAGGTAAAGTCTTTTCAGCTTTGCCATTGCGTCGGTCACGTTTATTTGCCAATTTTGATATAAAATATATGTCCTTGTACTTCAGAATTTCCACTTGCTCAAACGCTGTAAGCTCCGCTGCTTTCTGTGCATTCATCAAAACTTGTTCACCAGAACATAACCCCGAGCTTCTCCTAGCCGCGGTCAGCTTTGCTGCAGCCTCTTCGGCATCACTTTCAGCTCTTGCGTTTAAATTCAGCTGTTGAGTGACCTGCAGCTGCTGAAGCCTTCGACGTCCACTTTTTTCTCCACGAGGACGATGCGGCTGCCAAAACTTGCGTTCCTCCGCAGCTACTGACGTTGCGACGACGCTAGTAGATGTTGTTGTTTTGCTTGTGGCCAATAACGAGCTTGTTGTTCGTTGAATGAAGTCCAAAGGCCGCCGGTTAAAAAAAATGTGTGCAATCAGTGGTTTCTTAGTAACTGACGCTTTAGTCTTTGTTGTTGGCTCCTGCGTCTGAAGCTGCTCTATTTTGCACGGCTTGTCGGAAGCCAATCCAGAGCTTGGTGGGGCTGGAGCTAGCGCAGGCAACAGACGCTGCGCTCGACGAAGCTCCATAGAGTGGGATGAAGCTGCCACAGGTTCCATGTTAGATCTGAAATGATGCTAAATTCGGAAGTAAGTTTTAATTTAACAGAAAAGATTTGACGACTTTGCTACGCTCAGAATAACCAGAATGCAATTGATTGACTGGTATAATAGACAAGAATATGTCCAGCATACACTTTTTTTAACACCTGACACAATTTACGAATGATTCGGGTTCGAAAAATGTGAACAAGTTGCTGCTAGGTTCCCAACCTTCCTGAGCGCTATATTGTGCAAACGACACATGACGTTCGTGGTGTTTGTTGCCAGAAGATGCTGTAGCGAGTATTATGAATTTTTTATTGTGCCTTGTTTTGCTCTCGTCTCTTTTTTTTAAGCAAAATCTAGCTTTTTTTCAATATTAGAAGGTTTACTTATTTATTTGTCAGCCCATTCTTACAGAGCTTCAATTTATCAGCTGCTTTATCCATTGATATATTTTCTCATGTGATAAGAGACGATACATCCGACATAAACTTCTTACCGCGGTTTTGGGTCTGTCCATGCGGAAACTGTAACAACACTCTTCTGTTGGCTTCTTACTCATCAGTATCAATCTTTTGGCTCCTCTACATCGAAGACATCATCAGTCAATTTAGTGGAGATCTAGATATGATCGGGACAAGATTGTGCTCAGAAAAATTCGTTTGATTATAAGGAAACACTCACGCATGAGTGTCGTTATGTCTTGGCTGAACCGAATATTCAAATTGAGGCGTGACGGCTCTATGCGATCAAACTGCATCTGACTCTCGTATGCACCAAAGACATTTTGAATGTGCCTAATTTTACCCTTTCCGGCTACATCCAGTACTTCGCCAAGTATGTCAGTCATGTTGGTAGTCATGATGTAAGCCTTTGTTACATATGCTTGGGTTTATATACTGTTACCACCCAAGTTGAAGATTGAGTTCCCCTTCACCGTTCTTGATAAAGTAAGCATCTGTCAAACACCATGACTAAACGGCAATTGTGTCAGGAATTTATTTGTATCGGCTGCCTATTATCATCAATGCGCTGATCTGCATTGATGGGTTGCATCAGGCTTTTCAATCCTTCCACTTCCTCTTCTTTGTATTTGGCACAGCATACATGCTATCGCTCTGAATCCGGACGGAAATGTACAGGCGAATCAATTACTTAAACTCAGGCATATTTCTTAATTAGAGATCTTCACTTTGTCAAAAGCTGGTGTAACTTATGTAATTGCACTGAAATGTTCTACACACAACTTTTTATATCAATTTTGCTACGTACATGACTGCCAAAACCTACCGCACCATCATAATACATTGCTTTTCAATATTAAAGCAGCCCTTCCATCCCTCATGCGATTCCGGCCATGCATTGACATTCACGCCGGTGAAGTGAAACAAATTGTGGGATCTACGCTTACAGATAACGAGAATGTAGAACCAATCACCAACTTTGTAGCATCACAAAGTGCCGGCGAGTTTGCACGGTATTGCTAACCAATCGAAGGCTTTTGCTTCATTATTAAGCACTTTCACATGCTATTTCTTACTAGCATGTACAAGACAGACGGTCTAAAAGGTGGTCACGTCATCATGTTGGGTGCATCGAAAGTCAATACAATCGCAGCTTTGGATGCTATAACTAATTATCCTGGAGGACTTCAAGTGGGTGGTAAGTGTTTTTATGATAAACGTTGTTGTCCTCCTCGAAAGAGCTAATTGATGGTAACTAGGTGGCATCAATGCTGATAATTGCCAGTTCTTTATCGAGAAGGGTGCAAGCCACGTAATCGTTACGTCGTACGTTTTTCGAGACGGTCAGATCGATTTTGAAAGGCTTGAGAAGCTCGTAAAGTTGATTGGCAAGAAACGTTTGGTTCTCGATTTAAGTTGTCGCAAAAAGAAAGATGACAACAAATTTTACGTGATGACGGATCGCTGGCAAAAGTTCACCACAACTTCAATCGAGTGCGTTGCAGTGATAGTTACTTTTTATCTGTGACTCAACACATTGCTATTTTGTATCAAAAGTGAAGCTCTTTTTCTTCGTCTTGCGGAATATTGCGATGAATTTTTGGTTCACGCAGTGGACGTCGAGGGCAAGCAATGCGGTATACAGGTGTCGACTCAATTTTGATTCTGTGTATTGATCTAGAAAATGATAGCTGAACCAAATCTCATTTATGCTATGGATAGCATGAGCTGGTTGGGTTACTGGCAAAGTGGAGCCCTCTTCCCGTTACATACGCTGGTGGAGCCAGCTCAATTGTAAGATCGTACCTTATTGTTTAAATTAAAAAAATTGTTAATTGTTGCTCTCAGGATGATTTGAACTTAGTTGAACGCATCGGTAATGGCAAGGTAACCAACTGTATTCTTAGTATTGATAGACTTGGTTTTATCAGGTTGAAAGGATATCTTGCGAAATGGATACAGGTTGATCTCTCCATTGGCAGTGCACTTGATATTTTTGGCGGCAATATTTCTTATGATGACGTCGTTGCGTGGGACAAGAAGCGCGCAAAAGATATCGTGTAAAAGGCGCTATCACGTTGGTACCACAATGATTTCTTCATTTGTTGTTGAAAGCGTTACATCACTCATTCCTCCACAGTATCTTGAAATTCAATATCTGTTTCCTCGGCTTGAGTTTCTGTCAGTGTCTCAGGCGAAATTAAAGCTGCCGTTTCGTAATGCCGTTGATAATCGTTCCCATCCACTTGTTGCATCTCTGTTGAAAGCACTTCCTGGTTGTAGATGTCACTTTCGTTCCATTGTTCTGGGGAAACTTCGGCACCATCGTTGTTGTGATAAATAGCTTCTTTATTGTACTCATAGCCAGCTGAATCACTCTTATATATTGACGCCTCAGCTACGGCTTGTGCAGCGATCTCAAGTGCCTCTTTTAGCGTCACGATCTCATCTTTATAGCTGCACACAAGGTTGTCAAGCCCTTTACGTGACTCATACTCTCGCTTAAGTGATTCCCGTGCTGCATCCCTCTGCATCTCAACATGAAGCAATTTCTGTACGCAAATAAACACTTAGTTCGACTGTACAAATGCATGGTACAATTGCTCTCACCAATTCTTTCTGCTCTAGTAATTGCCGTGTAATATCATGAGCAGCCCGTTCCTGATCGACAAATTGTCGAATTAATCGCAGCACTCGCCAGAAGCGCAAAACGCCAAATAATCGCACGACTAAAAGTACAACTAGAATGAGTACATAAAGGCATCTTTACTCGTACAGAATGCTTCACCTTTTGTTTGTGCGTACATCTCGATAACAAGTGAAGTGCCGACGATGGCGAGATCCAGCACATAACCAGCTCGAGAGAAAAACTGAAGGCGAAATGTCACAAGCGCAATTCCCAATTCGATCAAGAAGAGGAAGAGCGTAAATCCTGTAAATGACTCGATCAACCGAATGATAATTCGCTCTATAAGCGATGCAATAACTTCTGCACTTGGATATGCTGTTGTATCCTTGTGATCAAGTTGATGCCATGCAGCTGCAAGTTGCTGTCGATCGTGTAAATGAATTTTAATTGCAGTTCCGCAAATATCGAAAGCAATAAGCAGAATCATAATTACTTGAGCTTCTGTGGTCTCTATAAACGTTTGCAGTCTAACACCAATTGACTTGTTTTCATCTTTGTCGTCTTCCAATTGCTTTGAATCATCACGATTTTCACTATTACTATGGTGCTGCGTCTTTACTCGTTGCTGTTTCAGCTTCACCGACGACTTGCTACGATTGTTGTTGCTATGGCGTGTACTACCTGTGGATTCTGCATTGCTTACTATATTACGAGCTGCAGACGTGGACTCCCCAATCTTCGGACGTTCAATCTTGCGCTTTTCCATTTATTCTTTTATTTTTTAATCAAAACTATTTGAAAGGGTGTTTACTAAGATTTGTTAGCGACGCTTTAATTACTTCGCTTTAGACGTAATGAACTGGCATCAACTGTACATCCTCACGACAACTTGAGTACCGTATTCCGTTCCAAATGCAATACTGCCTTCGACAAAATGTCCAGTTGATCCAAATCTACATTCGAGGGTTTGCGGCATACATTCGCCAGTGGCTTTGGCAGAATCAATTGATTTTCAACTGATACTTCCCAGCCTAGCGACGAACAGTCTACGGCAGACAAATCAAACCAATGAGTATAAACAAGACGGCAATACAAAAAGTTACAAATGTCTTACAGTGTATAGCATTTTCGTGTCGAGTAAAACCCAACGCTAGTGCGACGTCACTTATTGAGATAGTTGAATACGCTTGGCTCAGTAACTCAGCTACATCATCACGAGTCGAAACTAAAGTACGAGATAGTAAATGATTAGCGAGAAAACAGATATATAACAACTATTAACGCACTTTTTAACGCCTCAACGAGTCCTTGCAATGAAGGAGACCAATCGTAGTCCATGGCCGCATAAGCAGCTGCAAAATTTCTATTGTCAAGGCACCAAGAGAGTCAATCCATCGCCTTCTGATCCACATTGAAATTCCAGCCGCTTACCTTTGCCAGAGTGCCTTTCCAACCTCCCAGATATTGCGCAACTCTTCAGAACTTTGTTTAATCTCGATTGGAATACGTTTCCATAGAAAACGTGCGTCGTTAAGGTTCTTGGACAATAATACGATCAGTAAATAGCTCGCGTACAAGTCAGAAGTGAGAGCAGCTGGTTGCCGAGAGACAGTAGACGCAGCAATTACAAGCTCGAGCTCTTCCGACACGCTTTTAAGTTCCTGCACAAGTTGGTGTGCTGTCTCGCGATCGCTGGCTGAAGCGTGAGCTGTCAGCAACTCCGCACGTTTTGTCGTTAGTGTTCCGACCAAAGCGTCCATGATAATGAAATTAGGCCGATTTAGATTCTGGATTTTACTAGATTAGATGGATACATTCTAGTCATTCAGAAATAAAGAAAAAAAGCAAAAATCATGGCCACGAGTGAGCAGTTTTTGACCAAGAAATACGAGAAGTGGAACAACTTTCAGGTGCATATCGTCTTCCCTTCTATTCTGTCTTCTACCCTTGTGCTCATTAAATATCTCGTTTCATTACGATCGCGATAACTTCGTGTTTAAAGGACGATTCAGATTCCGACAATGAAGAATTACCTCGTGTACCCACTCAATTTGATGTAGAAGGCGATGGTTTGAGGCTAACATTTACTTTCTTCATCTTGTATTGTACCAGCAACTAACTTCAGTGTTGTGATGTTTATCATGTAGCTAATATCGTAATCAGCACAGAGATGCTATTAACACCTCAACAGGTGGAACGCTATCGAAAACTGGAAAAGAAAAAGCTCGAGGTTTGGCAAGTTGTGGTACGCCAACTTCGTGTATGGTCAGCATCGAGCTCTGGTGCTGAAGAGGGACAAGATGCCGTACCATGTCGACCATACTGCATTTTAGTGAATAATTTGTATCCACTTGGTCAAGTGGTATCTAAGAAAATCTGTCACCCACCTGAAGTATATCCATCAAGTCAAATAGTATTGGAATTGACACTACAAGCGATGGTAGATCCACCGAGCAACACGCCTCAACATCGTCCAGACAAGATTGTGTTTCCAGACAAGAATTATGTTGGACACTTACGTAAAAGCTACTCTGCTCTCGGAATTGAGTGTTCATACTTATCTGAGTCAGATGGCATTGACGCATATATTCAGTACGTCTCTACTAATTGATACACATAGTTCAGATTGTCTTACGTTGTTATATTATACCAGAGAGCTATCGCAACATTTGATTCGAAAAGATCTCGCATCTGTAGCAGAAGTGAGCGAACGCCCTGGTTTGATCTCTGGCGCTGGTGTAACGTCTGAAGCACTTGCCGCTTTTTACGCTGCGTGCGAACAATACGCACAACTCGAACCATGGAATCGCTTTGCAGAACGTCAAGCTATTCAAGTGGATGCAGTGGGTAACGAAGAGCTTAGATTAGACGCACGTCATCACGTCGGTCGAGGCACCATCTTTTCATCCGTTATAACCACGCACACAGATACTGAAGGTACTGGTGATAGCAGCAATCATATTCGTGGCTTGGCACTATTTTTTACACGTGCAGATCTTGAACGTCGCGTATTACCACCTGGAGAGCAACTTGCACTCATGGAAAACCCTGAATTACGTCGATGTGCCAAGTGTGATAAGCGTGCAATCGTCGGTAAAGAACTTAAACGTTGTACACGGTGTCAATGCACGTTTTACTGTGATGCAGAGTGTCAACGTGGTCACTGGAAGGATCATAAAGTTAGCTGCACTCCACCGGGAAGTGCTAGTGGAGACCAAAAAATTGTTTGGGGAGTGAAGGAAATGTCGATACTCTATGGTCCACAGACTTCGGTTCCATTTGACGACTTGGATATAATCTCAAAGTTCTCATTACCAATTGCTAAAGTTAAAGGCGAGTCTTTATATCCCTCTGCAGTAGTATTTCGAAAAGGTGATCCAAGTGTACCAGACTTGACAGAACTGGTTTGGCTCACACGAGCATTGAATGCACAAATTGAAGTGATTGGAAAACATCCTCTCTTTATGCAGACGACAATAAAGGAATTATTGGGATTGGATGATTGTAACAGCGAGCCAAGTAAATTGGAACTTAAGTGTAAAACGCTTGGATTTGATGATCATCTTGTGATCCGAAATAGTACTGTATTGACTATGCAAGATGTAGAAAGATTGCGCGAAATGATGAGGAAGCAATCAGATGGAGATGAAGAAGTTAAGGATCAGGTTCAAAAGAACATGAACGATGATGAAAGTATGACTCATCAAGATGACAAGCACGAGAGTAATAACGAAGCCGGTTCAGTCCTTCAAGATGACAACAAGAGCTGTGTGGTTATGTAATATGGTATCTTGTGATCCTTTATGTGCTTTGCATTTGTATATACACAGATAATGACATTATAAAAAACCGACTGTGACTGTTTCTATGATCCAAACAAAAAAAAGTTGCAAAATAACAAGTAAATTTGTAGATGCTGCTACGAATTATAGACGGTAAACGCCTACCGGTAGAGCTTTAGCTAGTCTTGTTTAAACCTCTCCCATTCGAGCGGGCTTTCCTTGCTGCTCGAATGTGCAGATACATCTTACACTTTTGTACAATTGTGCAAATACAAATATTGTTCCATTTTGCACTTTTGGAGGTATTAAATAGCTGTATTTGTGAAGATGATGAAGTCGTAAGTTTGAAGACAGTTTTTGTATGAAATTTGGTAAATGTGTACATTTAATATTTGTCAAAATAGAGTGAAACTTACTTTATAAGCACTTAACTACTTTGGAGACTTTTATTGTCCAGAAACTTATCCTAACGCGAATTCATTGAGTCAAAGCTTCCGCTTTCAAAAGTGTACGGCTTTCTGTTGCATTTTGCAGCGGGGTTTTTCCGTAGCGTTGCGCTTAAAGGAAGCGTACTTAAGTTCCTATTGAGTGTAAATATTATACTTCTTCAATCATAAAGCTATTTTGATTGCTTGGAGTGTGGCTTATTATCTATATACACCGCGGATATCTTCATTACGGAGTTCTCAGCCTCGTCGTTCTTAAGCAATATTTATCTGCGCAAGAGCAAACTCTCATTGAGCCTCTACTGCGCTTGAATTATCAATTCACTCTTTGTGCACTATAGAACTTGCTCTTAAGCACATTTGCATCAGAAGTACTTGCACTCCATCATATGTCTCAGCAAGCTTATGAGAAAGGCTCGGCTTCTCAACTGGTAATATAACACTATTCTCGGTAGGTGCTCCCTGGTTAAAATGGCCGCAGTCTAGGATCCCTGACCAAAGAATTTTACTCTCACCCAAAAACATGTTCTCTGGTTATCGACAGAGGTGATGGTGCTCCATCCCAACTCTTGACAAACAATGACCCCCTACTGACGACAATGTTCAATTGTCTGGTATTGCTAGCTGCGTTGGGTGGAATACTTACATGCGTATGTGTGTATGCCGTCTGCACAGACCAGCAGAGAAACGAACGTCAGTCAGTCGCTCAACAAGCTCTTTTATTTCCACAGACTCTCATCCATTTTGAGTACCACCCGCGCTTAAAGCGGGAAGTGGTTCCGAAATTTATATCCTCCAAGAGCGTTTACTTAAAGTTTTGGAATTTGCTGAGAGTGCTGATATGGACAGTAGGCGATTTGCGCACCAAGCGAGAAATGTGCATCCTTTCGTGTGCCTTACGTTCTACCAGCCAGCTTCAGTGAAGCAACCGTGGGATTGGAAGTAAGCGGATTCAACTATTTACAGCCCCACTCGTCCCAGATGCAATAGCTCCCGAAGTTGTAACGGGGTTACACTTGCCTTTGTATGTAAGGGCGGGTCACACAAGATGGTGTGACTGTTCATAGGTGAGGATTACTCACGTTGGTGTAATCACACAATGTTGTGGCGACACCGTAGCATGAAGTTAACCCAAGGCTAATTACTCTTCCGCTCAAAATTCAAAACTGATTTTTATTTATTTTCATCTGCGGCAGAGCCGCCTAATTTTAGATCTTTAGATTTTCCTTAATATATACACCA